TCTCTGTTTAAAAAACCCAAGGTTTGCTCTTGTAAAGCACTTTGGCACAGGTGAGCTTTTAAGGACAGGATTAGCCCCCAGGGATGGATTGGATGGGGTACATCATCTCCAACCAGCCTGTCACACCCGTGTATGCTCCAGGCCCTGCTGCCCTAAACACAGATGGTTCAGCAGGACCTCTCCAAGAGGAGGACAGGGTTATGCCCCAATATTGAAGTAGCACTGATGAATATGTGTTAAAATAGTCATGAAYTTCATGTCAACATTCTTGGGACTGTCTTATGCTACCCTTCCTACAACTGCGAGTGATAAGACCTCCAGAACATGTTACTGTTTTTGGAAACAAAGATTTTTTCGGAGGAGACTGTTTCCTGTCTTTGCAGCCAGGAAAAGAAAAACATTCGACAAGGCTTTTTGCAAATGTTGCTGAGAAAATTGAGGAAAAAATAGTGTTCTCTTATTTCCGTCTCTGGCGTGTTTTAATCGCTAGCCATTATTTTAGAAATCACTTGTAACAGAAATGGAGATAAGAGTTTGAATTGGAGGATGAAGAACTGTATTTATATTGACTATCAGTGTGAGCTGGGAGTACTTGTTACAGAAGTCAAAGGTAACTGTTTTTGTCAGTCTGTTACATTATCTCACATGTAAATAGAAAAGAGAATGAATCACCCTTGCCTTAGATATATTTTTTTAAAGTTCTTGAAAAGGATGTTGTCAAATGAAYCAATTATATGCTATGCATATAAATTAAGATTGTTTTTCAGATTATTTCTAGTGCAAACATATTATGGATGTAGAATTCTTAAGTTTACCATGCAATCAACTCCTGTTTGTTTAAGAAAAGCAAGGCTGACTTATTACAGCCYTTTAAAAAAATGTTTCACATAATCAGTTTAGACAGAGCTTAGGCACCCCTGTTGTCATGCTGGTGATCTCCATGTTTCAGGCAATTCTCTGACTTAAAACTGCCCAGGATCTCCTCAGCAAAAATATCGGAATGAGTTGTCCTTCATTAGATGCTTTTAATGACATCTTTTCTCCTGCTCCTCTCAAAAGGTCGGGAAGAAAGATAAGATGCATCTCCTGACAAGCTGCTGTTGTCTGCTGGGTGAGCTCTGGGGCTGTGTAAACCCTCGTGCATACCAAGGCAGTTTTGTAAAAATATCCCGCTGCTCCTAATTGTGGCAGTGTTGGCAGGAACAGGCTCTGCATTGTGGGTCCCTCGCTCGCTGCTCCCGGGGTTTTGATCAACACGGGTGAAATCCRAGCCCAACAAAAGTCAATGAGAGGTTTGTCTTTGATTGCACAGCAGCCAGGATTGCTCCCCAGCTGTTCCAGACACAGGCAGCATCCTAATGAGGAGAGCACACCCATCCCAATGGCTGCAATGGCAAAGGAAAAAGCTCATTCCTTGAGCTGGGAGATTTTTGAATATAACAAAAGCTTTTAAAAAAGTTGAGTTAATCCACRGTCTGCACATAAGCGACTTAAAACTTTGATAGAAGTATCTCAGGTCTTAAAAACTGAACTCCAGAATTTCAGGAAGAATTTTTTTCATGGAAAGGGTTGTTAAGCACTGGAATGGGCTGCCCAGGGTGGTGRTGGAGTCACCATCCTTGGAGGTGTTCAAGGAAAGGCTGGATGTGGCACTCAGTGCTCTGGTCTGGTTGAAATGGTGGTGATCAGATAAAGGCTGGACTCAATGAACTTTGTCATGTTCTCATTTGCTGAATGTTCAGGTRTAGAATAACTATTTAATTAATTCAAWKAAAYTTATTTAAATTGGAACTTATATATTGAAACTTTATCAAAGAATAGTTGAGCGCAGAGTTATTTTTGCTGGGGTTTTGGAGGGGGAGGAGGTGAAGGTAAAGGACATTTGCTGTTTAAGAGGATCGTAAAGGAAATGAGTTTGCAGAAGTTGAAGATAGYGCAGGGTTTGAGGAAACTGGAGGCTTCCTGTATGATGACTTTCAGCACTTGGTCACAGTGCCTTGATTTTTCTTACCAGTAAAATAGGGGCACTGAAGAAATACAGATAGTTGGAAGGTTGCGCCTAATTGATGTATATAAAAATGAATTTTTGGAAGGCAGAAATTGCCATTTGAAGGCAAAAGATCTGCAAAAGCAGAAGTGCTTTAGCTCTCACAACAAGGATATATATGGGATAACACAATAAGAGTTATAACTATATTTAGAAAATGGTTGAACTGAAAAAAGGCAGGATTGCACTGAAATCTCCAAGAAGTGATGTACCTGTATTTATCCCTATTTAAAATTTAACATTATACTATTTTAATAATCTTCAATAATGCCCATTTTACATCTCRATGTTCCATTTGGTCAAAAGAGATTCTAAATAAAATGAAGTGTCAAGATGTRGCAAAATCTGAACTCTATGTAGCCACACTGCTCAGACTCAGTGCTTCTTGTATGTACTTCCAGAAGCTCTTGCAGTTTGTTTTACAGAGACAGCAAATTTGGAAACAACAGGGATGGCTTGTTAAAATTACATTATTCAACTRCAAAGGTTTAAAAACACAACGCTCAGGGCAGTCCTGTTATCTGATAGGCTTTTGTTTCCAAGTTCATCCTTCAGCTCTTCTCTACAATTGTTTTCTGTTAAATGAACCTGGCATGTTGTTTTCCTGAGGTTTATGGGTCATTGATGGTATTGGGTTTCACACAGRCCAGCTGTTCCCAAATCAGGGCCCTTCCTACTCCAGCCAAGTCAGAGCCAGAGAAGAGGGGAACCCACAAACGGGGCTGGAGGAGGAAGGAAAGGCAACGCAAAGACATTGGAGTCATTTTACTTCCAGCTTCACTGTTAAGACCTCCAYGAATCTCATGCTCATTAGCAAAATGTTGAAAAATGTAGTGTTAAATTACATTGTTCCTTGGGACTGTTTTTGTTGCTCCTTGGAACTGTTTTCCTAAACTCTAATTACAAAAGTCTGAAAAGAGGAGCCCCTGGCAGGGAAGAGGCAGCATCTGTCACACGCAGAGTTGAAAGGACATGGGGATTTACAAAAGGAACCAAAATCAACTTGGAACATTTCCCCACCACCCAGCAGTTTTACAGTGATGTCAGGGGGTTTTTAATGTCACAGTGTGGTGAGACAGTGTTTGAAGAAGGTCTCTCCASTCCCAGCTTTGCCAGGCTGTCCCTTCTTCCCCTTCCATGGCCCAGTGACCACTGTGCTCCCTCCTGGGAGGGCAGGAGCAGAGCCAGAGCTGAGCATGGAACATGCCAGGATTGGAAGCATTGTAACACTGGGCCTCTCTTGTCTGATTTAAGAATTTTCCTGTGGATAAAGCTGTAGAATGTCCCTGTGCTCAGTTCTAGGTGGGCATCTCTCCTTAGCATTTGGTGTTTGGCAGTGTAGGTAACAGCACCCAGAGCACCAAGCATAGCCCTGGTGTAGCTCTGTGCTCACAGACAAGTTCAACATTGCTGAGATTTTTAAGGCTAAATTACCCTGTTGGACATGGCATGATAGAGAATTGCAGTTTGGGGGCTTTTTGCTGTCATGTYTGATGGGACCAGAATGGCAGCTCTGAAATGTCCCTCCCTCCTCTGACACAGGAAAATACCCWTTGCTGTAGTGGAAGATGCAGGAAACCAAGGAGCTGCCAATTATAAAGTGCTTGCAGGCATATTTTTCTAACAGTGGCATTTTATAGCAGGTTAAAGGTCTGGAGCATGAGCTTTTTTACCCCAACAGAGCACAGGTATCACATTCCTTAAGATTTATCTCAAGTCTGATTACATTTGTGCCTGAGAGCACATGAATTCTAGTGGGATTATCTGGTARTATCTGGCCTTTATTTTTCAAGTTCACTACGGACACCATTCCTGTATTTCAGTAAAACTAATTGCCAGTAAATAATAYAAAAAAGAAAGGTCTSTCTCTTCCTGTTTCAGTTTATTTTYGTTATTTATTTTACAAGGTGGTTTGTGGAGGGGAGTAACCTGTTGTAGCAGTCAGCTGGGTCTGCATTCACATTCCTGCCCAGAGCTGGGTCATTCACTCATACAATGATCTGGAATGAATTGCTGATCCCGAGGGAAAGCCAGGCATATGGAAGRACAGCTTGTCCAGAGAAACTGTGGCTGCCCCATCCCTGGAAGTGTCCAAGGCCAGGTTGGGCAGGGCTTGGAGSACCCYGGGAGAGTGGAAAGTGTCCCTGCCCATGGCARGGGGTTGGAACAAGGTGGTCTTTGAGGTCCCTTCCCATCCAAGCTATTCTGTGATTCTACAGAGGGATAAAATAAAATGCTAGATTCTTTGATAAAGAGCATTGTGTAAGGGCTAAGAGCTATTGTTTAAGCCAGCTACAATTTAGAGTCTTGTTCCAAAAGGCACATCAGGAGAGGAGTTCCTTGTTGTTTAGCTGACATCTCAATTTAAAATTTCTGTTACACCTTAGTGTGTGAACACTCACCCCCAGTGTGTGGCAGAGGAGAAGGACACAGCACCAAAAACCTCTTGAGAGGAATGAGCAGCTGGTCTTGCACACACAGCCAGTAACTAGGAAGAAGAGGGGTTTTTTTTGTTGAGTCTGAATGAAAATCGGGACAAACATCAGTTGTTAGAATGTGCCAATCAAGGGCATCTTAGTAAATTCCATGTAGAGARAAATTTTAATTTAGAGCTAGTGTTCAGTCTGTCACCAAAAGAAACACTCGTCAGATAAAAGTGCTTCAGATCTCATGATACGGGAAACCAATAATTATGAGATACAGTGAACAATACAAGGTAGAATTGCTAAAGGGATTAATTAGCCTTAGTCAAACTAACCACTATAATTGATGCAAATATCCATCTGCAGCCTGCTGAGACATTAGATAGTCATCACACACCTGCTCAATTCGCCAGYCTTGCAGAACACAGCTGTCAGAATGATTTCTGGTTGGGCTTTTTCTTGAGCCTACTTGACTGTTTGTTCTTTTGTTGTTCAAAATGTTTCCTCTTTCTCTTTTCTTTTTCTATCAGCACTTCCACGATGGCAGAAAGGCACAACAACACATTGAAACTTGCTGGAAACAACTCGAAGCAGTAAGTGGCAAATTCCTCAGATGTGACATTTAAGTTGTTTGTATATTGTTTTCAGAGAGATGGTTCCAAAAGTTTTATTTGGAAGAAGAAAGGTATATGGATAAAAGTTGTAGAAATGGTGTTTTTATAACTCTGCTGTCTTAAATGCAGTCATAGTCATGAAAAAGTCTGTTTTAACAGAACATTTGGCTTCTGTGGGCTCTTTGTCTATCACAAGCAGCAATTCATTTGATATGACTTGAAAAGGGTGCTAAGCATTGCTGAAACTGCAGAGTCCCTAAGGGTGCTGTTCAGATATTCCACTGAAAGTTGAACAGCTTCATAATGTGTGAATAAATTGAACAGGACCAGCTCTTGGGTGAGGAGCTGCTTCTCAAAAGTAAATACATTGGAACTGTCATTTAAGTGATGAATGAAAAGTGAGAGTGTAAACACAGGAGAGGATACAAAGGGGTTATCAGTAACCATAAGTCCCACTTGCAAATTTATTAGTCTTAGTCACTCCCTTGCTCATTTAGAAAAATGAAGGACTTAATGATTGGAAAAGTGTGATTTCATCTATAAGAGTGGAAGTGATGCTAAAAGGGAAAAATATTGAGATATGAGCAGTCTGGATAGTGGAACAAAAAAAAGTGTCTCTGGCAACTCCATTTTTTGAAGTTCTTTAATATGGAAATGTATTCCAGTGYAAACAAGGGAGCCTTGAAATCCTTCAGTTACAACAGATTGTTTTAGTGGCAGGCATGAATTTTAGGTAGATTCTGGTATATTTTCCTTCTCAACAATAAAGGTTTCTGGTTTTCCCTCTCAGAGTAAAAGGCGATTTGAACGTGATTGCAAAGAAGCTGATCGAGCACAGCAGTATTTTGAGAAAATGGATGCTGACATCAACGTGACAAAAGCAGATGTTGAAAAGGTGAGCTGGAGGGTGGAGAGACTGTTTGTAAACACGGATGTGATAGGTTTAGTTCTTCAATCCTACTGGTAGGATAAAACCCTCTGAGGCTTAGTGCCTTACTTGAGTCAGTCTGTAGGTTAATTAAAAACAGGGAGATCTCTGCAGAAACCTTTATTTGCATGGAAACTCTAACAGATACAGTCAATTTTATTTAGTAGGTGATACCTGAGTTTAACAGAGCTKATATGGCTCTAAAGGAGTTTGTGCAAGGTCAGTTTTAACCAACACCCCAGGTTCTGTGACAGTCAGGCTTGTGAGGATTCCCTGAGGGGTATTTGCAGTTTCCACACATTTTTGTTCCCTCTGTGATCCAGGCAGAACCAAATTTCCTTCCATTTGAGCTGCACTTCGAAGATTTCCCAATGACATTGGATTAAATGAAGTATTAGCACAATTGTTTTTCATGGTTGTAGGTTTAGAGCAGGACAGCTTTCCACGTGATGCAGAATCCTGGAATCCATGCCTGTCACAGATGGCACAAGGCTTTTATTTGCATTTCTAAGTTGCTGGCTGGTTGCAGAGTCATTTGTGGCTTTTTTACAATGATCCCCACTCACTGGAGCTTTTGAACTAATGCTTTATTTTAAACATCCAGTCCTGTTTCAGCACATCTGGCTGGAAATGTTTTCAGTCCTTAGTTCAATTCAAACTTGGATGTGTGAGAGGATATTTAGAGTTTAAATTTTACTGGTCCAAGTTCCAATACCTGTAACTTAAAGATGCAATGAAGAAAAAGAAAAATGTTTAAAATTGCTTCTGGTTTTGGATTTACACATTTGCTCGTGAGATACACTAATACAGATCAGAAACACCACATTACAACATCCAAGGAGAATTCTGTCCTCCTTGAATTTGAGTCAGACAGGCATAAAATAGCCAGAACATTTGAAAAGGTTTGTTTCTTGAAGAAAAAAAAAAGGCAACCAAAAGAGAATGGAAAAAGTAAAAGCTGAAGCTTAAAATAAACCGAATGTTTTGTTGCAGGGACAGGAAAGGAAAGTGAATTATAGGTAAGAAATCTTTCTAGTTTGAGGTCTCCTTGTAAAATGTAGGTTTTGCTCCTTAAGAGGTCTGCTTCATTCTATTCTCAGATACTTCACTCCTGTGAASATATGAAATATAAATTTCCCTTTGCATCTGTGGGATCTCGTGTTTCTGGTATGCTGAGCATCAGGACGTTGTGTGGCAGATAGCATCGAGGATGCTGCGAGAAATGAGGACAGTAAATCGTAAACAAGCTCAGAAAATTTCCCCCAAGTGCTGTTGCATATCAAAGGACAAAATACCTCTGTGGTCTTGTAATTTGCTTGGCTCTTAGTTGCAAATTCACCGTGTAGWTTTGATCCTTTGTTGCCTTCTGGATTTGCCAGGGCACTTGACAGATGAATGCATGTACAGATTGTTAAAGATGTAGCACCACATGTGGGTTTTTCTAACAGAGGGGGATCATCTCTGCTTTATCTGTATAAAGTGATTTTAGAATACTTCTTTCATAGATCAAATTAGGGCTTGCCCTAGATTTTTTTTTTCCAAAGCCGAGGTCATGTCAAAGGGATACAAAGACATGACTTACTGTTTGAACCAGGGGACTGAAACTCTTTACTTCTAYATCCCTTTCCAAGGCTGGCCTTTTCTGTTCAGAGTAAAAGGTGGCACATTGGTGGTATATCAATCTGAGAGTGTTAGGTAAATTCTGGGAAGCAATTTCTTACCCTGGTGCTCTTTCCTTGTCAAGTGAAGCAGAGAWGCTTCCCTTTTAAATTCCTCTAGCTTTTTATTGTATGAATTTGTAAATTATTTATTGCAAAATGAGGCTCAGTGGCATCTTGAAAGAAAAATCTGTTAGTTATGCATGTTGGCAGCTCTCAGGAGAAGGCATTACTCCACTTTCCAGGCACTCAACAGAGTAGATGGGAGAAGGAAAAGGTTATCAAAATGAGTGGAATGTGCAATAATATTACTGAACAGAGAGAACAGTGTTTTCCGAGTGCATGTGTTAAACTGGGTTCATCCATGTCAGGCTGTGAATAATGCCCTTTCTTTGCTCCCCTCTGCCCGTGTGACTGGGAGGCTCTTGCATAACTGCCAGGGCAGAATGGGATATTGTTCCAGCAGCACTGCTGCTCTCCCTGACTCGCTCCAGGGGGATGCAGGAGCTGCTCAGCTCCAAATGAAGCAGTAGGATGACTTTAACCTTCTGATTTCTCTTGTCCCCTATGGCTTGGCTGCTGCATTCCTGCTCCCAGAAATCCACCTGGCCAGGAGAATGGGCAGCCTGGCTGTGTCAGGGCCCTTSTCTTTGGCAGAACAAGGTGCTCCTCCAGCAGTGGGGCTGGTTGCCCTCATTTCTTTGGCTTGAGATTGACACCTTGGCTGCTTCAGCTCGTACCTGTCAATATGAGCAGAAACAGGAGCTATTTTTTGAATCACACATGATAGAGTGGATGGCATTAATGGAATTAGAATTCTGCAGTGCTCACAGTGACACATGCAGTCAGAAGAGAATACAGCTGCARTTCCCTAATGCTAAGCTGTGTGAGGATCTGAAATGCTCACATCTTTTCATCTTTCAAGTCATTGTAGCCTTTGACAACTGCAGCAGGAAATGCTGTGCAAGAGCTGCCATCTACCAGCACTTRCCCCTTGCCCAAGGCATCACAATTTGGGAGCATTAAATAACAAGAATAGTGGCAGAGAATCAGAATAAGAGTCACTTTCTTCCATATTTCTCCAGGACTGCTTGGGAAAGGGCCTCAGGTGTGTGTTTAGGGGCAGGGCTGGATGTGGAGTCTGGGCATCGTATGCCAAGGTCCACATTCCTTGTGTAGGACCACATATGTGGAGGGCACATCCCTTCTCTGTCTCTTCTGATGGGCTCCATCACCTTGCCAGCCAGCAGCCTGGTAGCTGATCTTGGAGAGAGGAGTGTTTGGCTGTCTTTTCTCCCAGCTCCTTTTTTGGTGGTAGGAACATGGAGCAGAAGCTGTGCTCAGACTCTGCAGCCGTCACAGTGGGCAGGAATCAAAGGAGAGTGGAGCAGGGCACCTCAACTCCCTTCCCTGTTTGCCCTGAGCCTCTAAACCCATCAGCAGCCAAAGTTTGCATAATTACACAAAATGCAGTGTAGCAAAGTCAGGGCAGGAAGCTCACTGTCTGTGAAAATATCCTTATAAACTAAATAAATGCTGCAACATGCTGATGCTGCTTCCAGGAAGCCTCRTAGGTATCACTGAAAGCTTTATTTCATTTGGATCACAGTGGGTTGTGTGCTTTAAAGCGCTTCTCTTTCAAAAACCACAGAGGAGCTGCTTCAATTTTTTGACCATTTGGGGAAATGGTCTCTGTCGCCAGCACGGAGCCACTGTACATATAAGGCAGAGCTCTATTGTTTCTGCCTTCTCTTCAGAACTGCAACCACTAAAAAGCTGACATCTTTATGGGGTAATGTGGTACCCAGTGGTGCCTTTGCAGACTTCTTGTAATAAAGCAAAATTAAAAAATCAGCTGGCTATTCTAAGGGTTTGTTTTCAAGGTAGGCTTTTCAGAATCTGATTTTAAAGAGGAAGTGGCTGAGGCCAACCAGGGCCTCTTGATTTGCTCAGAAGCTGAGGGAAGGAGAGTGGTTTGAAGTACTTGGTGTCAGGCAGGGTTTGTCCCTTGGCTGAAGAGGAACATGGTCAGATGTGGACCTTAGGCAATAATCTGAGATTCTCAGGAATTTTAGACCTATTTACCTTTGGTTTTAGTTGGTTTTGAAGTGGAGAAACTGAGGGAAACACAAGTTTATTGAAGTCTTTAGGAGCTTTCCCCAGTGCTCTGCAGCTTTCACGTTATGTCTGCAATGTCCAAGGTGTTTTGGAGACCCAGAGTYGTTTAAGATTTGCATAAAGCCTTAAAATACAATATCACCATGATAKGAGTTTTCTGGTCTGTAAATATAACTGTGGAGAGATACTGAGGTTTCATATTTGAGGTTTCATTTTTCTCTTTCCTTATGCCCCATTACCTGGGTGCTGAATTTCAGCACAATGTGCAGAGCCTGTCCCCCTCCTTACCCGAAGCAGACACACTTAGCACAGCCTGGGGTAGCCATGAGCTGAATCCCTGGCAAAGTCTGACAGAACGTAGGTGTAGAAATCCTGCTAATTGGAAACTGGGATTAGCTGATCTTCCTGTGTGCTCAGTGATGCTGTCAGGTGGTAGCTGCTGTTCCAGCCCCTGCGCTGCCGTGCTCTGGGACACAAATCCCTTCACTGGGAGCTTACACATCCTTACAATGAGGGGTGTAATGAGCTATTTTGGGCTCTGGAGGCAACTCAGGTGGGTGTTTCAGCAGTCGAGTCAGGACAGCAGTAGAGTCACAGTGGAGCTGGATGGAATCATTGACACCCCCCAGACCAATCTGGAGGAACATCTCCAGCTCAGCTCTGCTGCTGCCACATCCCCCTGAGCTTTAGCAAAGCTTGTCAGCAGCAAACTGCAGCACAACCTGAGGTTATGGTGTCTGTCTTCTGCAGCCTCTAACCACTTAACAGACCTAATTTTTTCAGGGGATATCAAGTCTTCTCCTATGTGACAGTGGGACTTGTATGCCTTCCCTCTCCCATCCACTGGCACCATGGGCGTACCAGCATTGCAGAAAATGCAGTGCTGTGCAAAGGTGGAGAAGATTTACAGTGCTGGTGTTATTCATACTGCACTGAGTGGTTCCAGAGGCTTTGCTTTTCCTGTTCTCTGCTGTGAATTTACAGAGGTGAAACATGCAGGTGAGGTGTGCCCAGTCCTGGGCATGGTGCAGAAATGCCTGTGCATTTCTTATTGCAAAGCCTGACACTGCAGATTTTCCCATGTTCTCTGCATGGTGGTTAATWTTTTTGTTTGTTGAATAGGCAGCTGCTTCTCTTTTGCTCCACAGATGGAACTGGCTAAATTTCTGTGTCTTTGCTTGAGAGGTGTGT